ATCACATCTACTTGGGACAACCTGGTACTGGTAAACCGTAAGTTAAACCAATGAACACACCGAGTAGAGCTAAATTTAAAATCCATATTGGTAGATTGAGTACAATATCTCTCACTGGGGCCCATTTAGCATCCTAAAAATATAAAACAGTTCACATTGTAATATTCTGGTCTTAAAGGGATTGTAAAGAGGTTTTCTAGACTTTCTATTTGTATCAGGGACACTGATAGCATCAATTTACACTATTCTAATTTTCAATCAGACGTCTGTGGTTCTTGTTAAAGAGATTGTTAAGAGGTTTTCTAAATTTTTTATGTGTATCAGGGACACTGATAGCATCAATTTACACTATTCTAATTTTGCAATGTCGCCTCCTTACCTCATGTGAATCTTTCCTGCGACCCAGAGTAAATTCCATCAAAGCTACGAACAGATATGTTAAACCGAACCTCTGTAAAACTCCAGGTATTCTCATTGTCTCCAGTTCTACCGCTGAAAAAACAGACACAAATAATCTATGACAGACACTTTCATGGGGCATATTTCAAAATTATTTTGTCAACGTAAATACGCTATAATTCTTAAAGGGATTGTAAAGAGGGTTTCTAAATTTTTTATGTGTATCAGGGACACTGATAGCATCAATTTACATCATTCTAATTTTCAATCAGACGTCTGTAGTTCTTGTTAAAGAGATTGTAAAGAGGTTTTCTAAATTTTTTATGTGTATCAGAGACACTGATAGCATCAATTTACACCATTCTAATTTTCAATCAGACGTCTGTAGTTCTTGTTAAAGAGATTGTAAAGAGGTTTTCTAAATTTTTTATGTGTATCAGGGACACTGATAGCATCAATTTACATCATTCTAATTTTCAATCAGATGTCTGTGGTTATTGTACTTCCACTAAAACGTCAAACTGGTTTAAAACGTCTGTGGTTATTGTACAAATTGGTTTAAAACGTCTGTGGTTATTGTACAAATTGGTTTAAAACGTTGTACTTACGTCCCCAGCTGGTGTTCAGAATTATACCAATAGCGAATAGAATAAAAGATCTTTTAAAAATCTTGAATAATATCTGGAAGGTAGTTTTCTCTTTCTTGTACAAACTTTTAAATGAAAAATTCATGGACGTCCCCATTATAAAGATGAACCTGAAGGATAAAAAGATTTGCAAACACAAAAAAGAAACGAAAACAAAGAAAGTACCACGAGGATCCTTTATTCCAGTTTCGGACTATCATGTGTGCGTATATGTATAAGAGAGGGTAGGCTATGAAGAATAGAAAAGATTGGAACCAATGTTCGAGAGGTCCCCAAAGTTCTCTCAAGTGTGCAGTGAGGAAATTTTAGCTTTAGCCTACGCTTTTCGATTTCAGTCTGTTCAACGATTTGAATGATTTGCAGTCTGTAACACACGAGGCCTCGGTTTATTGTCCCATCAGAACGACAAGACGCGTTTTCGATTTCCAACTGTCGAGGGATCTTTAACATGTACAGCCAGTAGCACACGAGGCCTCGGTTTATTGTCCCATCTGAACGACAAGACGCGTTTTCAATTACCAACTGTCGAGGGATCTTTAACGTTTACAGCCAGCCACACGGTTTATTGTCCCATCTGAACAACAAGATGGTTTTTCCATGTCAGGTATTATGGTATTTGAATACTCACCAAGGGAAGACTAAATCAGCTACAGTCAAACCATTCCATGGTGGATGCTCAAAAAACCAGTAGCCGCCTCCGCCATAATTTACAAAAATCATAATAACTAGAGATAACCTGAAAAGAAAGATATTTTTTTTACAAGGATAACAACTTACGTCCACAATGATTTTTTCTACCAGCTGGTCCTTGGCCAAACCTCTTGGTAATGATTTTACAAGGATAACAACTTAGGTTCACAAGGATCCTTTCTACCAGCTGGTCCTTGGCCAAACCTCTTGGTAAGGATTTTACAAGGATAACAACTTAGGTTCACAAGGATC